ACCCACACCCACCCACACCCACACCCACACCCACCCACACCCCACCCTTATTTATACATAAGTAGAATAATAAAAATGATTTAGATAAACGAGTTATATCTGTTAAATATTTCTATATTAATATAAATAATTAATCTGATAAATCAATATTTGAATTATATTATATATTTTTAGAGTTATAAAACGAATCAAGTTTCTTTATGTTATTTTCTCGAATAATTATTTTGTCAATTTGTTATAGGTGGATCGTTTCTATAATTGATAATCTATGTCAACAATTGCTAATATGTATTAATTATTTGTGAGAATATTTCTTTTTGTTATATGAATAATGAAATTAATTTTATTCTAATAAATAATAAAGATTCAGTTAATTGACATTATTTATTTTTATTTAATTGAATAGATAATCAGTGATTATTAAATCTAGTTGTTTAATTCGATAAATTTATTGTTAATAATCTTTATTCGGATAAATCAATAATATTTATAAATAATTATTGTTGTATCACTGGTTAAAATATAATTTTGTTAGAAAATAATCTTGAAAATATTCGTTTTAAAGAAAGTGTCGACGATAAGATGATATTAAGATAAATCTAATATAGGTGTTAGACATAGAAATTATTTTTAGATAATGAATAGAAAATCTATAAAATATTTGTAGATCATCATTCAAATAAATAAATTATAAAGATGAGGATGAACTAGACAATAAAAACGAATTAAATATAAGTCTTTTCAAAAGATCTAAGACAAAAAATAGCCGAGAAGAAAAAATCAAAAAGAAGTTATTCAAATGAAAAACGATTTAATGTTAGAGAGAATGATTTATCTATTATATAATGATCATCCACTCGAGATTTTCATATTCCCACTCGATAAAGGACACCTAGATAAAAGACTGGTTAGACAACTCCCAAATTTCGAAGATTTGTTTATTTTTTCCGAGTAATTATGTTGACAATTTATTTATTTTATGTAGAAGTCAACTATACGAAAGGAAACGTTGCTGTCTGAGCTGATATTAGTGTTATCAAAGGAGTTTTTTTTTCATAACCGTTCTCAAACCGAATTATGTTGACTAGTTACACAAAAATAATCTTGTCAATTGAAGATAAAGTTAAGAGTCAGTGACTAGTTATGGTCGCGTTCATCGTTTATGTAATGAAGATCCTGAGTTTATTAATTCAAATTGATAATGGGACATCTCAAACTTAATCTGATTGAATTGAAATATTGTTATAGTAGACACTGAGAGATGTTTTTCGACAGGTAACAATCGACTGTTTTTTCTTTTATATGTTTTTTTTCGAACGTTCTAGGACTTGAAAAATATTGAAAATGTTTAGTGTTGACAAATGATAAGAGTTCTCCTTATTTCATATATTCTATCACTGGTTAAATAATCAATATAATAAATAAAATGCATTTCCTAGAATAGAATATAATATTGTTTCTATAGGTATTATATATTTCTATCTGTCTACTTGTTCTATTATTCAAGATAATGATATTACTTGACTTGTTAATAAATGTTTTCTATGATCGATTGTTAAAAATAATTGGTATATTGATTTATTTCTCAACTGAGATGATTTATTTCAATTTATAATTGTATAGATTGATGATAGATATTTAAAATATTATTTATTCTTGATAATAAATTAAATAATGTTTTCTGAGATAATCGATTATTGTATATAAATATATAATAAATAGGTTAAATTGATTATAATTTATTTGAATATTTATTATTATAATTATAATAATTAAATATATATCGATAACTAATAAAACTATCGAACTAGGAAATCTATTGATGATAGAGATTTATTTTATTCTTGAATTAATCGTTATAGGTATATAATGTCCTATAATAGTTGATTCTAAATAATCTAAAAAAAATCTTCTATTTAATACGTATAAGATAATCCTAATGATGGTTACTTTTATGTTTCAACTTGAACAACTGACAGATAAAGATAAACTCTGTATTTCATATAATATTATGATAAAACAAATAAACTCATATCCAAATATTGATCCTATTGATTTCATATAAAAAATGATTATTCTTGAAAAATATTCATTTTCATCTTTCCTGTTCATTATTTTGTAAACAACGAAGATCTGTTGAACTTCGTCATAATTATGGAATAAATTCATAAAAATAAAATTATTTTTTTGACAAATAGACAATCAGTAATCGTTTTATTTGCCTCTTTCAAATCGAACCAATGGAATTAGTGAATATAATTCAAGTTCGTTAGTCCAGGATCTCTCACATAGATAGATATATTTACACAAGAAAAAAAAACTTTCATCAATATTCACTTTTGTTCTACTATAGAATAAACTAACGCTAATCACACCGATGAGAAAAAAAATAAAGCGACGACCAAAAAAAGAACAGTATGTTTCAGTTGTTGTTAGTCGAGTTTATCTTTGTTGTGATGATGAATACCAAACCATCGACGTAAGATATTGAATAGTTCTAATGGACAAAAAAAAAGAAGATAGAATTAATGATTGTACAATTAAATTGTTGAATATTGACGATAGAAGTAGTTGAACTATTTCTAAGAGGTCGATTTTATTTCTTTTATCTATACTTCCAAGGACTAACTAAACTATGAAAATGTTTCTATTCCTAACTCTTCGATCTTAAAATCTAATGAATCTTATGATTAAGAAATTTTTTTTTGTAATATTATAAAAATTCTTTTTTCATATACTATTATCATAACGCATTTTGTTTTCACATCGTATATAAGATGTAGATTGCATTAGGAAACTAGAGATACTCCTAGCTGTATATTCTAAAAAGGCAAACTTGCCTTTCGAAATCCTATTCAATAGAGATAGTCATGCAATCAGTAGTTGAATTGTCGTTGATAAAAGTTCATAAAATTGTTCAAGCATTTTTCTTCAAAGGCTTGTTTCGATTCAATGAGAAGAGTTGAGAGACACTTTAAGCAAATCGAGACAAAAACACGGACAAGTTATTTTCTTCTTAAGACTATCCTTATTCAATTGTCTCGAAATTAGTTATACCATATTCTTTTTACCCTCTAATCTATTGTCATTGTTGAGAAAGTAAATTTTTTAAAAACTTTCCATCAAAAACTCTTAAAAATTAACAAAAAGGTATGTTTATTATAAAATCCACAATTTTTCTATGTTTTTCATGTAGATTTCATTAAAAACAGCAAGAAGAATGATTTTCGTAACCATTATCAAGTAGAGATTTGTTCACGAAAATCTCAAAACTTGAACAAAATTGACGCTCCTGAAGACGATGGTAAAGTGAAACTGAATGCATTTTCTAGTCATCACTATTCCGCATAAGATACAACAAAAAAAAATTATTCAGAAAAAGTTGCGCGTCATCTTCAAAACTAATTTAAAAAGGAAAGAGTTGAATATAAGATTTTAATAGAGAACATCGGAAAATTTGTATTTGTTGTAAGCATTTAAATGAGTAGAGAATTTAATTTGATTGAATTTAAATGGAACTATCTAGAAAAAAATATCCACTCGAATAGAAATATATTGAGAATACATCAAAACATATATTTATGAACATGTTTATAAATTTCACTAGGTTTTCATGATAAGATCCACAAACAAAACTTATAAATTATTTCGGACTGTTGGGCTTCTAACTTCAAATGTAACTATTCACCTTTATCGTTTCGTTTTATTTGAGATAATTTGAGTTTGATTTATATTGATATAAAAAACATAGACACCTCCTATAATTCTATCTATCTTTGGTAATTTCTATCATTATAGTCTATTCTGTTAGAAAAAACTAATAGTCAATTTTGAAAGCAGCGGATAAAACGAAATCGAACAATATATTTTTCGAGAAATTTACTTTTTTCCTAATATTCACTTCAAGCACTCTGAAAGGAGAGATTTGGAAAAAAAATGTTGAGACAGTAGAGATGAGTCATTACATGAATAGAAAAATTTTCAAAAACAAAATCTTAGTCAACGTAGTAGACTTAGAAAATGTTCGTAGAAGTCTTCTTTTCTTAACTTTTTAATAATCTTTCGAAGACGTTGCCCAAAAAAACTGACAATAATTTTACGTTTTATGATCAATATACTATTTTTGCTAACTGATGAAAATCTTACTAGTTTCTTGATGAGCAGTATTAGATAATGTATTATTTATTTGTTGCTGTTGGTATAGAACCATTTGTGGTGATGATGACGATGATAATATTTCTTGACTCTATTCAAATTTAATCAATTCAATATAAACGATATCATCTGGTACTTACCTCATGATAAGCTATTCTTTCAAGTAGATGATCCTGAATGACAAGTATGACACAATTAGATATAAAATAAAGGTTTTTCACTTACAACATGTATTTCTATTTTGTCTAATACGTCATCTTCAATTGAACCATCATTTATTTTATTTAATACCTAAATAAGTAAAGTAAAATTCAATTTGATCTTATCATAAGAGCATAGTTTTCTTACTTGAGAAAGATTGGCTATTATTTCTCGTTTGATTTCGTCCATTTTTAACTAGAAAAAAAAAAGTTAATGATCGGAAGATCTATAAACTATACGAATAAAGTCAAATATAATCCACCAATATGATAATGATAAGTGAAGCATAATCTGTATCAAGAAGAAAAATTAGTTTTTATATGAATGATCTCATATGACGGCGGAACGAACAAAACAAAAACGACAAGTTATATCGATCAATAGAAAATAAAGAACAGATGTCGCTCTCTAATACGTGTCACTTGAATAAGCGAAGACATTTACATCATTATAGAGACACTAAAAGGCCAATGGGATTGGCTACTAGTATTGAAAATAAATATTATTTTTATTCTATGCACTCTCTCTAAGGCCCCGAACAGACTGAACACGATAAAACTGAATTAACCAAGACAATTCGCGTTGCTATGCAAAAAGGCCAATCGTGTTTCTTAATTCACTTTGAATTAGTCAGTCTGTTCGGGGCCTAATGGTAAAGTATGGGTGTGGGTGTGGGGTGTGGATGTGTGGGTAGGGGTGGGTGTGGGTGGGTGTGGGTGTGGGTGTGGGTGTGGGTGTGGGTGTGAGTGTGGGTGTGTGGGTGTGGGGTGTGGGTGTGGACGTGGGTGTGGGGGTGGGGGGGGGGTGTGACTGTGGGGGTGGGTACGACTATAGCTTTGTCAAGACCCACACCAAAACCCACACCCACACCCACACCCCACCCACACCCGCACCCGCACCCCACACCCACCGACACCCACACCCACACCCTTATTGTCTTATCGGATTAAGAATTCATTATGGACGATACAAATGATTATGAGGTTAAAGTCATTGAAGAGAAAAAAATAATGAATGTATATTTATTATCTATTCTATAACAAGGAGAACAAAATAACAAGTGATTCTGGTAGTGGTTGTAAGTCTCTAAATACTTTTAAAAAAAATTTCTCTTTATTTTTTATGTATATATTTAGTTTCTTCACAATTCAATGAAAAAACATCAATCGAACATGAACCTTGGCATCATTCAATTTTAATTGAAAATTCACCAAAGGTTTCGGAAAAAAACCGTGAATATTTAGGAAGAAAAATGTCTGCAGTAAGAAATTTAGTCTTATCATAACATCAAAGTAAGTTTTACTTTAATTATTTAGGCAATAAAAAAAGTAAATGATGGTTCATTTAATCGTACAGCATTAGCAGAACTGACAACAGGAATAGTAAGCCAGAAACATTTATTTTATATATAATATTGGAATATTTCCATTATCAGAATGATATGATTGAAATAGGTGCTCTCGTCATGTAAGTATAAGATGAATTGTTTGATTTTTAATTTATAAGATATTTATAGAATGAAGAAAAATTATTGTCATCATCATCATCACCACCACCAAAAGCATCACCATTAATTCAACAACAACAATCATCATCTTCACTTTCATGATCATCTTCAGGTTCTTCATTGTCGATGTTTATTATCGATGGTTTCATCAGTCTACTATTTGGTATCGTTGCGAATATATGTGTATGCTATATTGTTGGTCAAGTGACAATAAAAAAAACATTTCAAGTCTCGTTTTATTGTTATGTGTTGATCTTGCTGTTTTTTTTTTATTTAAATGAATAAGACTTATTATTGATTCGGTTAAATTAGAACAAAAAAAATCTATCATATCGTAAAGAGATTTCTTTTTATTTAGAATCTTTTGCATTATCATTTGAAGCTCATCCGAAGTTCGAACAATATTAGTTCATCTTGGTTGTTCACTAAATGATGAACATAGGAAAGATGAAAACGGACATTTTGCAACGGCAATTATTTTCTTATATGAACTATATTATTTTTTAACCGTTTGCTTCTTATTTAATGACTTAAACAATTTTATTAAATCCTGTCTTTTTTTTTTGTTTAACAATTTAATAAAAATAAAAATATTGAATTATGTTCGATCATATTTATATTTGATTTATTTCTAAAAGATGGTTTGATTGATAAAATCTATAGGTAATTGTCAAGAAAGAATCTAATAATATAGTGATATCTATCTAAAAAAACAAAATGTTTGATTATCGCATTGAATAAGTTTGTTCTTCCAATAAATGTCTGAATAATGATGTGAAAAAAAAGAGAAAACATAAAAAATAAACTCATAGTTTTGATTTATTCAATTATTTTAAAGAAAGAATTTAATGGCAACAGCAACAACTAATTCTCATAGTGGAAAATATCGATCCGATCCTGAAATCGAAAAATATCGATTAGAACTTAATTGGACTAAAATTCTTGATAAATTAAAAACTGCAAAAGTTCCAGGTTTTATTTTTTAGTTTGTTTATTTAAAATATATATTTAAAATGTAAATTTTTTTTTTGTTTTTTGAAAAGAATATGTTAAATTTTTGGATGGAGAAGCTCAATTAGAATATTATTTACAACAATATCCATTAACGGATAGTCGGAATATAGAACGATCTCGTAATGATTTAATTCGTGTTGAAAATCTTCTTAAATCTGGTGGATCAACTCGTTCATTTGAAGGTCAATGTTTATTATCGAAATTATATTATGCTCAAGCACGTTATGATGAATGTTTAACATATGTTAATTTAGCAATTAATTCAATACCAATTGATATAAACGAACAACCAAATAGATCTTCATTATTACTTGCAGAAATCTATGCACTTAATGGACTTTTATTAGAAAAAAAAAATGAAAATTTATATGAAATAATTAAATCATTTGATGATTCATGTAGGTTAAGTCAAACATATTATGCTGCTGTTGAAAAATCTAAACATTTAAGTTATGATAATTTGGATATTGAAAATTCTTTAATTGAGTTAGCTTATCAACGTTGACCACTTTTACATGCTTCAAATACGTAAACTTTTCTTTTTTTTTTTTATTAAAATTAATCAAATAAAATCTTTATTAAAAACTAAAAAATATTTTTTGTTTAGTAATATAAAAACAACAATTGAAATATTTCGTTCATATATTCAAAATGTTCATATTAAATCATTAGAAACAATGAGACAAGTTTGTTTTAAATAAATAAAATAAAATAAAATAATTTTATTTTCTTTTTAATATAGACATTAATTAAACAATATGCCGAATTATTATTAAAATGTGTTTCCAAAGGAAATTATATTCGAATAACTAATTCAGATGAGAAAAATAATAAAATTCATCGTCGAACATCTCAGTAAGAATAAATAAAGAAATAAATAAATAAAATTCTATAAAATCTAGATCATTATTTATTCCTCGAGATGTTGATGAAGAAATTCTGTTATTATTATTATTGAGTCAAACGTCAACATTAAATGAAGCTGTACTTGATTGGCAACCTGAACATGAAGGTCAAAGAGAACGTAGTCACCAAGCTGCTTATTATATTCTTGCTCTTTTATCAATATTTCTTTCTCGTAAACAAGCATTTCATATTATTGCTGATGTAATTTTTGTTTTCTTTTATCGTTTATAAATAATTGAACATAATATGTATATATATAGTCTTATGAACAAGCTCTTCGTTTTTCATTTGAACATTTTCAAACATGGTTTAATTATGGATTATCATTAATATCATCAGGTCAATCATTTCGTGCTTATCTTATATTAAAAGAATGTTTAAGAATGCAACCAAAAAATCTTCAAGTTTATTTACAACGTGCTAAAATAATTCTTGAATATATATATGATGTATATTTAATTGAATTTTTTATTCTTAAATAAATATTTATTATTTAAAACAGTTTCCATCATTATTTGAAACATTTCCATCTTTAGGTGAAGATGGACAACCATTATTAAAACAAACATTATATCAACAACAATATTATTTAAATCAACATGAAAAACGACCCAGATTTATTGATCTTGTATGTTTCATTTTTTATTTTTATTCATAAAAAAAAAAAAAAAGATATATTTAAAATTAAGATTGATGAAGCAATTAATTATTGTTAACAAGCAAAAGAACTTGAAAATCCTCCATTTGCTCGTACACTTCTTCTTCTTGCTATTGCTAAATCATTTAAAGCTCGACAAACATCAATTCATAATGATCGTCAAGCACTTTTCAATTAGCTATTATTGATCTTCGAGAGTAAGTTTTTTATTTTTATTTTAATATTAAATATCTATTTATATATAAAAGATCAATTCAACTTGATCCATATGATTCAATATCACATTTTCATCTTGCTCATAATTTATCTTTTATAAATCAAGTTTGTTTTTTATTAAATAATTCTTAAATAAAAAAAAAATGTTTTATTTAAAATAGACTCAACAAGCATTAAAATCAATTGAAAGATATTTATTATTATCACCAGATGATAAATATGCTCTTCATTTATATACACTTTTACTTACTGCTCAAAAACAAATGCCTGAAGCTTATGCACAAATATATCGAGCAACTAATGATTATCCTGATATTAGGTTAGAGATTTATTTTCATTTTATATTTAGTTATTTTAACATATTTTTTAAAATCCTATTTAGTAAAATGTTAGATTTTGATAAGAAAAGCAATAAGTTTATTGAATAATTGATAGAAATTGTTGAGATATTAAAGTTAAATTATATTTATCGAATTAACAATAAAGATAAAATTGATGATGACTATTTGTTATATATTAAATAGAATATAAAACTCTAATATATTTATTTCTCTGTCAATTTTTTTTTCAAGAATAAAACTTCTTAGATAAATAAATAACGACTAGATTTTTATTCGAATATAAGATAAAAACAATGGAAAACTTTAATGAATAATCAAGTGAACATTTCTAGGAAGAGATTTTTCAACTGTTAATCAATAAAAAAAAAAAAAGAGAATGTCTTATTTTGAATATGAATATATTATCGAAAATGAAACGAAATAATTATTCTTGATTAACTCTGATTAATTTCTAAATAAAATAAAATAAAAATAAGATAATTAATTATTTATCAATAATATATTCGATTTGTCTTAAAAAATTCTATATATATATTGAGATTTACATCATCAATAAAAAAAAATTCTTTTCATTTATTGTTTTAATTGAAAATTTTATATAATTAATATAGAATCATAGAAGAAATTCTTTTAAGAATTTTCTTTAATAAAAATAAATTGAAAAGAAAAAGTATTGATTATAAATAAATATAAATAATAATAAAAAGAGTTCTATTTGAAATGAATATAGTTTATTATTAACAAAAGCTGGAATTGAAGAAGAATTATATGGATGTGAACAATCAATAATAACATGTAAAGAAGCATTAAGAATTTGGAAAAATGAATATGAACCTTTATTAACAAATAATCCAAATTATCTTCTGGATACATCACATTCAAGGTTTGGTTGGGTTTTTTTTTATTTAAAATAATAAAAAAAGGTTTGTAAATATTTAAGTGGGGGAAATCGTCCAAGTAATCGATCACAAAATCCATCAATTAATTTTGAAACTGATGGTGAACAAACATTAAATAGTCAACAAGGAACATTAAAAGTTGAAGATGGAATTAAAAATTTATTTTTATTCGGTTTTAGACCATTTTCATCATTATTTAATGATGAGAATTCTATAAGAAATAATCGATCATCAACACAATTTTTTTCTATTCAACCAATTTATTTTAGTTTACTTCAAATATTTGAACATCTCGATAAAATAATCAATTTTTTCATTTTTTCAATAATAAATATTTTTATTTATTTAATAAAAAAAAAAGTTCGATATTATATAAAATTAGATAAAATCGATGAAGGTGAACGTTGTGTAAAAGAAATCTCATCATTAAGTCCATTATGTCATCAAATGTTTTATATGCGTGGATTAATAAATGATGCTCGTGGTCAATTAAAATTAGCTAAAGTTAATTATAATGATGCATTAGCTATTAATCCATATCATTTTCCAACATTAATTCAATTAACAAAAACTTTTAATTCAAATAGGAAATTATTCGTTAGCTGAAAAATATGCAAGAGCTGCGATTTCTATTCAACCATCCAATCATCAACCTTGGTAAAGAAATTTATTTATTTTTATTTATTATTTATTTTTTTATTTATTCAAAAACAAAAGGTATTTATTAAGTTTATGAATGGAAGCTCGTGGGGAATATGAACAATCGATTGATGTTGGGGCAACTGCTGTGCATTTAGAAGAAGATTCATCAATTGTCTCTTATCATTCGATAATACGTGTTCTTTAATGATTTCATTTTCTTTTTTTTTATATTAATTATATTTATTGGTATATAATCATAAATAATGTCCTAGTAGAAGTGTATCATATATATTTGATTGTTTTTGACGATTTCCATAGGATAAATGACGATCTTTGTTTGTTGATGATTGAGATGAAGATAAATTAGCTAAAGGTTCATATGGAGGAGGAGCCTTTATTTAAATAAAAACAAACATTAGATAGAAAAACACAAATATGTTTTAACCTATAGGAATATAATTTGATCTTGTTTTATTTGAGATGATCTTATTTCTCCTTGTTGTCGTGGTGCAGGATATGGTGTTCGTTCTATTATTTACTCTCGATCAATTTATAGACAAATACCGGTTATCGAAAGAGAAAGAGCTCGACAGGATCAAGTATTCATAATCATAGAAAATCAAGATAGTAAAAAGACGTTTATCAAAATCCTTTTCCAAAGTGATTCCTGTTAAAGTAATTATTTCGAGATTTGTTTATTTCGATATAATAATGATTTTATTTCTAGTATAATATATCTCATGATTCAATTCAATTTAATAGTTCTAGTAAAACTAAAGTAATATTTAACTTTTTCTTTTTGCTGTTTATATTTTATCTTTATTCAATGATTATAGTTAACAGATGGATCGTCAAGTCGCGTAAGATCTGCAGATCAACTTCGAGAAATCACAGAAGACACTGAAAAGCGGCGAAAAAAACAAAAGTAACCTTTGTTGTATATTAAATTTTGTGAATCTTATTTGTTTTTCTAGAGGATTTTATTGTTTTTCATGTCCATGCTCACTCTTGTGTTTACTTTGCTCCTTGTTTGCTGCACCTTTTCTCGGTTCACTTCTTGTGATATTATTGCTCCAATTTTTGTCTAAATCTACAGCAACAAGTAAAATTCTATTATTTTTACTTTTTTTTTACATAAAAATTAATTTCAAATATTTAACAACAGTAAGTACTGCAATATTATCGATAAGTATGTTGATATTAAAATAAATAATTCTTTATATTAAATACTAATATTTTTATTGTAGATAGTTCGATAATAAGTATGTAATGTATTGTTCATCAATAAAGTATGACTAAGAAGAGCTGATTAAAGTTTATTTGTGATTATAGTTAAAAATTTCTTATAATATTTTATTAGAAAATCGTATTAATCGATTAGTTTTTTTAGATTTTTAGTTGAATAGATTTAAGTAGTCGATATAGAACTAATTGAATGTTGTTATTTCGATAGTTACATCAACATCAACATCAACTACAGCAGTGACAATGACTACAACAACAGTGTCAATCACAAGTGAGATTTTGTTTCTAAAGAAACTAAAACCTCTTAAGAAAATATCTCTCTAACAGTTAAATTCGTTTTATCCAATAAGATCTATTAGATCCACAATAAAAATTAAATAGATGAAGAATAAGAAAAGAAAAGCTTACATACTCTTTTATTCTCAGCTACAACAACAACTTATTATGTATGTGATTCTTTATGTGTCAATCAATCATGAATTTCTTCATCTAATCTACTTGCTCAATGGCAATTCGATAATAATCTACTTGAAGATGTTACCAACTCTATCACAAGTTCCGCTAAAAGTCCTACATTTGTAACTGGCTATGTTAACCAAGCTGTCTCATTTGGTGCAAATGTCAATCAATCACTAAGATCTTCACCTATCACTTTAACGGCTACGAGTTTTACTATCGATGCTTGGATTTATCCTACTCGTTTTTCTAATACAAAAGATCATAGCATAGTTGGTATATGTCCTAAAGATTCCATCCATGAATGTCTTTATTTAACTGTTCGTAGAAATAGCTTTTACTGTAATCTTTATTTTGGCTTTTTTGCTGATGATTGTCAAGGCAATGAAATTATACAAATTAACGAATGGATACATGTTGCATTTGTCTTTGAAACAAATTCATTGACACAAAGTATTTATCTCAATGGAAAACTGGATGCTAATAGGACAGCAACAGGATCATTTCAAGCTACTTCAGATAATGTAACAATTGGTAATGTTCCATTAATTAATCCCTACTCTGGTTCAAACTATTTCCAAGTAAGGTTTCATTGTGTCGACAAAAAACATGTTCAAAATATTTTCTTGTTTTGATTTAAAATCAAATTGGACAAATATTTAGCTGATTGATAATATTATTAAAAGCATATTCGTTTATTTATGTTTATAGGGAATGATTGATAAGTTGGCAATTACAGGCCGAGAAAAATCAGCATGTGAAATACTCGAAGAAGCTACATTAGTCGCTTATTTTAGTTTCAATTCAAGAGTTGAACTTATCGATTCAGGACCTAATTCACTCTCAGTTGTTAGACAGTCTGTTTCGTTTGTGTCTAATGGTCATTCTTTTCAAGCTATCTCATTCAATGGATCAACCTATTCATACTTTCAAATATCAGACTTGACTAGTCTTGGTATCTCCAATCGTCCGTTTTCTATCTCATTATGGATACGACCTCAAAATTTATCAGGAACTCTTGTTCATGTTTCATCCAATTCTTCTGGTCTCGGTTGGTGTGTTCCGTTTTTAGGCTTTACTACTAACGGTTCAATTGTTGCTCAAATATCCAATAGTGCTATCAGATCTGCAGTGGGTCCATTGATACCTTTAGCTCCAATTTGGTCACACATTGTTGAAATATGGAGTCCAACAAATCGCCTTCGTCTCTATGTTAACAATGTCTTAGTTGCATCAACTACTGCAATGACCATTTCATATACAGCTAGTTCAGTACCGAATTATGCTACATTAGCAAATAGTGTAAGTGGTGCTGGTGTTTGTGGCTTAGGTCTACTAGGATCGATGGGTCCATATAATGGTGATATTGATGAATTGAGAATTTATAGTCGAGAATTAACTGCCGCTGACATATGTACACTTTATACTACGTAGTTAAACTATTTATTTTTGATTATTTCGATTTTATTTATTATTTTCTCGAGTATACTATTCAGAAGATATACATTATTTGATCTTGAAACAATAAAATCTAATTTTTCGTTATCTTTGAATAAATCTATTTGTTGTAACATTTTTATATTGTGGAAGATTGAATTAAATGAATATTTCACTTATTTTATATTACTAAAATATTTTTGTAAAAACAATGTCTTGTCTCATTCAAGTAAGAAAATCTTTAGAACAGTTTGGGGTGTGGGTGTGGAAATGTATTTTAGTTCCATCCAATCCCTCGTATAAGATTCTTTTTTAAACGTAATCAATCTTTTGTACTACAATAATAAATCGCTGGAGATCTGGTTGCCATCTACATAGGTATAAGAAAATGAGGTTTTTTCTTAGTTTTCATAATAGTGAAAGTAAATCTTTTGTTTTTATACAAATTGACAGCCAGAAAAATATAAACTATTGTATCGACTTCTTTTGTGTCGATGTCTCTATTGTCATGTAAATTACTTGTATCGAACATTTGTCGAATGCTATTGTTGATAACATATTCGATTATTGTGATGATTGTGTTATTCTCGATATATTTTCAAGTTTTAATATACGTTTTACACATTTAGTTCTTTATTTTATTATTACTAATTAATATTTATCAAACTGTATCGACAAATCAAATATGCTGTTTTTTGTTGTAGAGTGTCCTTATAGCTTATAACATCATGTACATGTACTACTTTTATAGGATTATCTATGATCATGAAACATCATTCTACAATATAGTAAGTTTCTATATGATCTTGTAAGAATCATACGTAGAAAATATTATTAAATCTAACTAAAGAAATAGAATTTGATAAATTTGTCTTGCTACGCGACAATTTTTATCTATCGGATTTTTCAAACAACAAAACATATTTAATAACATGAATATTTTGTGTTTTTGAAATTTATACATTTAAATGTTATTACATAGTCATCATTATTATTGAATATTAGAAATACAAAAATGTCTTTCTTCAACGCTTGATCATAAATAAATTATTGAAAAAAAAAATTTTCTTTGAAAATATTCATTAGCTTTTCTTCAATATCTATCTATTTATAATCGATGAATAAAATTCTCATATAATTTTCATACTTACATATTTTTGTTAGACATGAACATATATATATACATAAATCATTTGTTTGTGCAAGTTAAATATTATTTCAAACAAACCTATTTATTTCATTATATCCTATGATGGATTAACCAGCGTGTATGTTGTTTACTATCATCTATCATTGATCCCATCGGACATACATAATTAACATTCTCCTATTTGATATCTTTCATCCGGATTCATTTCAACAGCGTCATATCTATCAGCAAAACAGTCAGTCGATCAATAATAAGAAGAAATAACATCCTTGAAATGTATTGTTGTTTCTTTATTGACAAACCGTGTTCGCAGAATGAATATCTTTGTTTTTTTAAACTTATCTGTCTCAAACACGCAACTTCTAGCAGTCCATACCCACGACTACGTAGGAGAAAAGCTTGATAATAACGAGAACGATATTCATTTTATTATGATTTCTCGATTTTTCTCTTTCTTTTGATGACGGTGCATTCGTTTTGTTATTGCTCTTTGATGCAGACTCTTATCTTGTGCACTCTTGAAATTAAAGATAAGAAATCCTGTAGTAACAATTCGCACACACTCATATAACAATTGGCCAAAAACTGTCAACAAAAGAAAGAAAGAAATTCTGTTTAAGGAGACGAACGAGTTTCTTCACATCTTAAACGTTTGACAAGTATTCATTTATTTATTGCTGTAATTTATTGTCATTCAACCACAACTATTTGTTTATAACTTACATTGTGGGTGAAAAGAAGGTAATATCCACATCCACCTACCATACGGATAACATAAAAGTGTTCATTTAGCAGATCTTTGCTCGAAATTCAATAGAATGTTTGACTGTCATAATTTTTGAGAACTTATGAAATATTTTTGCAAAATTTTGATGCTAGCAAATGAATCCTCATTCTTTCACTGTATCATTATAATGGCTTGTATGATCTGAGTGTCACAAGGGGGAAAAAGCGAGATTCCAAAGTTGGAGTACAGTGGAGTCTAGCTGAAGTCTGGTGAGTACGTACTCCTTATAGTCTAGGTAGACTCCACTATACTCCAACTGTACTTCAACTGCACTCTACCTATACTCTGGAGTACGGGAGTCTCGCTTTTTCCCCCTTGGAATGTCAGCATGAGTGAAATCAATACTCATATTTAAACGCACACCCAGCCGGACTACGTGCTTCAGTACTGACAAAACACAAATTGATAACTGAGATAGAAAAATAGTCGTCAAAGAAAATTTTCGTTTAAATAAAGAAGCTTGATAGTAGAATAGCATTCATTCATTTGTGATTTCAGGTTGCCGATAAATCACACATATAATTTGTTCACGTCTCGTACAATCAATTAATCAATCAATCAATATGGGTTGTGGTGCATCTGAAGTATTAAATTCTCTCAGCAGTTATCCTCATAATATAGTAACGCCATTATCATCATCTTCTACTGTGAATCAGCAATCGAATTCAAATCGCTTTCAGAAACAGGATCATCGAAGTGATACAAATGAAATTATCCAAAATTTTCTTTTGATTTGGCTTGACGAAAACATCGATGAATCGAGCGACGATTATCTCAATTCTATCAAACAACTACGACGAACGATCAATACCATCAAAACATTTCATAATGCAAATGAATGTATTGATTACATGTCACAAGTTCAAAACGAAAAGTCGTTCCTCATTATTTCGGGTGCGCTATGCGAAAATGTTGTGCCTCATATTCATGACACGACACAATTACATTCAGTTTATATCTTTTGTCGAAAACAAGAAAAATATGAAGAGTGGGCAAAAAATTGGTCCAAAGTAAAAGGTGTTTTCACCGAAATTACCTCAGTTTGCGACGTGGTTCGACAATCTGCTCGACAATGTGACCAAGATGATATTGGAATTACTGGTGTATCGTCATTGAACCAAATCGAACCATCGTTTATGTATACACAGCTCTTGAAAGAAATTATTCTTGAAATCGATTTCAACGAACAGAAAGAAATTAAAGATCTCGTCGAATATGCTCGTAACGAAAAGGAGTACGTTAACAATAAAGAAGAATTGAAAATGGTCGATGAATTTGCTACCGACTATAGAAAAAATGTCGACAAGAACAAGGCCATTCGGTGGTACAGTCGGCAATGTTTCACGTACCAATTAGTCAACAAAGCTCTACGCTCTCTAGATGTGCATACTCTGCTCAAAATGGGCTTCTTCATTCGTGACGTTCATCGAAACATCGAGAAACTTCATGAAGAACAATCAGAAATAAACCATGAGTCTACTACTACAACACTTTCCGTCTTTCGAGGTCAAACCATGAACAATGTAGATTTTCAAAAGAAAATAAAGCAAGGTGGACTCGTATCCTTCAATAATTTTTTATCTACAAGTGAGGATCGTCGTGTTGCCATTAGTTTTATTTCTCCGCTCACCAGCGACAGCAACAAAATCGGTGTTCTCTTCGACATGGTGATCGACCGATTAGTTTCATCGGCTTCATTCGCCCGCATCAGTGAATTTAGCTGTTTTTCGAACGAAAAAGAGATTCTCTTCTCAACACATACTGTTTTTCGCGTCCTGAAAATCGAACAAATACAAGAAAATAGAATGACCATATGGCAAGTTAAACTTACACTCACCAATGACAGTGATGACAAGCAGCTTAATGCTCTTACCAAACTAATGCGAGAGGATATCACTGGAACAGGATGGGAACGAATGGGTTCACTGTTATGGAAACTAGGTGAGAACGACAAGGCAGAACAGGTATACACAATGTTACTCGAAAAGGCATCCGATGAGAGCGATAAAGCGTATTGTTACCATGGACTGGGAATGATCAAAGATAGTCTAGGACAATACAATGAAGCCATTGAGTTTTACCAAAAATCGCTGGAGATCGACGAAAAAACTCTTCCTCCGAATGATCCCGACTTAGCTACTTCCTACAACAACATCGGTTTGGTGTATGATAACATGGGCGAGTATTCGAAAGCACTTTCATCGTACGAACGATCACTTGAAATCCGGAAAATAGCTCTCTCTCCGAACCATCCCGACTTGGCTGCTTCCTACAACAACATTGGTGCGGTGTATCAAAACATGGGGGAATACTCGAAAGCACTTTCATACTACGAAAAAGATCTGGAGATCAGCCTGAA